ATATATATACTGTATTATAATAATAATAATAATAATAATAATAATAATAATAATAATAATAATAATATTATAAAAATAAAATTATTGTAGCAAGTGGGCCCGGACGATGCAAGATCAATAACGGAGGATGTTGGCATGAAACCCGAGATGGGCATTCATATTCCGCTTGCTCGGTTTGTACTTTTCTCAAATTTTATAATTTAATTTAATTTTTTTAAAGTTGTAGATTAAAAAAAAAAAAAAAAAAAAATTAAAACATATTATAAAAATACAGGATAGTGGAAATGGGAAATGTGCATGTCCTGTCGGGTTTAAAGGTGATGGTGTCAAAAGTTGTGAAGGTAATTAAATGATGCTTTTTTATATTTGAGAAATTGTTAAATGTAAATATTCTGGATAGAAGAGAAATTTCCGATTTTGCCCTTGAGTGACAGATATTGATGAATGCAAAGAGAAGAAAGCATGTCAATGCCCTGAATGTAGTTGTAAGGATACATGGGGAAGCTATGAATGCACGTGTAGTGGTGACCTTTTGTATATAAGAGACCATGATACATGCATAAGTAAGTACACCTTCTTTTTTCAGGAAGGAATGGAATCGTTCATTCCGTTGCCAGATGGAATGGAATGGACCATTCCGTTCTTCCCATTTTGTTAATTTTTCATTGTGGCTGTTTTTCTTATTCCATATAAAATATAAAAAATCAATACCAACATTCAATACATGATCACGGAATCTTATAAACTCATTCCGATACCTTTCATCATTCCACCGTAAGTAAAATTCCGTTTTTGCCCTTCTAATTAGGCAAAAGGGCTGTTCAAGGAAAATCTGCATGGACTGCTGTTTGGATCATTTTATTGGTGTTAGGTTCGGTTGCTGGTGGAGCATATCTTGTCTACAAATATAGATTAAGAGTAAGTCACCAAAGGGCATATCTTTTCATTAATTTGCTTATTATTATTATTATTATTATAATATTATTTGTTTGTGGTGTAAAAATTTCAGACTTACATGGATTCGGAGATAAGAGCGATTATGGCACAATACATGCCTTTGGACAACCAAAGTGAAGTACCCAATCATGTTAGTGAAAATCGTGCTTGAAATGAAATTTAAAAAAAAAAAATGAAAAAAAAAAGGAAATAGTGTTGGATGATTCGTTGGAACTAGGGTGATGTGTTTGAGGGGATAATTACTATAATACCCTTGTACATCCAACCGATGAATTTGTTGTGTACCATTATCATGATAAGGGAAGTGTAGAAAACTTTGTCTAGTATGGATGTTTTGGGGATATGAGATTTGATAGGAAAATTTGATGGTGTGTTGTATCAATTTTTTTTTTTTTTTCTTATTTTGTCATTATCATTTCTATTAGAAGTCGGAAGCAATATACAACATGTGATCGGTCAAATTTATATTTTAACAACGTATTTTTGATGCAAAAGTGTTGAATGAAAAAATAAAAAATAAATAAAAACAGCGTTTGTTTGGATCGATATTATGGAATTTTGATTAACATGTTGAGTGGAAGTAGAGTTATGGGATTGAGATTATTTTATTAGTTTTTGTGAAGTCGTTTAGTATTTTATATAAAATAAGAAATTGGTTGAATTTTGTATTAAGATAAAATAAGATGATCTAAATGATATATTTAAATTTATATCGAGTATCACAACTTTGAATTAATTATAGAGATAAAAAGGTATGTGTTATAGTTAATGTTGAGGTGTGCTAAAGGCCTGTATTTAGTGTAATGAAGTTTAATTAAATCTAAGAAATTGTGTGTATGTCAATGCCTTTAATGATATAAAACAAAGGGTTGGTTTTCGTTACTTCTCAATTTTCATCACAATATATCGGGAATATGACTTATCAAGGTAATTAACTTTTCGGTATGTTCACATCTGGGTAACTATCTTTTTTTTTGTACATATGTAGGTAACAAACTTTTTGGAAGTGTTCACATATGACCATTATGACCTGCTATAGCAGGTTAAATCCTAGATGTGAACGCTTTCAACAAGTTTGTTACCTAGATGTGTACAAAAAAAAATAGTTACCCAAATATGAACAAACGAAAAGTAAAAATTAAATTACATGAATGGTCCCTGTGGTTTGGGGGAATTTGTGGTTTTGGTCGCTAACTTATTTTTTTTAACTTAAATGGTCCCTACTGTTTATTTTTGTTGCGTGTTTGATCACCGTCTTACCTAAAAATACTTTTGTGCCCTTATTAATTTATTTTTTTAATTAATTTTCTTATCTATGTATTTATTTTTTACATATTTAAAAAAAAAAATAAACCACACATATTTGTATCTCCTCGGATGATCCCTACTATTTATTTTTTAATTAATTTAATTTTTTAACTCGGATGGTCCCTACTATTTAATTTTGTTATGAACTTGGTCTCTGTCTTACCTAAAAAGACTATTGTTGCCTTGGTATTTTTTTAATTAATTTTCTTGTTTATGTACTTATGCTTTATATGTTTAAGAAAAATTAGTAGACCTCACATATCTGTATCTCATCACCATCCCATCTTTCATCCTTCTCAACTTCTATTTATTTTTCATCTTTAGTGATATCGACGTCTTCATCATCACTTCTTTTTTCGGTCCTTCAACTCCGTCGAATCAGCACCACAACCCACTAAAGATGAAGAGACAGTAGGTTATGGTGTTGGTTCACCAGAGTTGAAGTACAAAAAAAAAAGGATGGTGAAGACATCGATGTTACTAAAGATGGAAAAGAAATAGAAGATGGGGAGGAGATACAAATATGTGTGGTTTATTTTTTTTTTAAATATGTAAAAAATAAATACATAGATAAGAAAATTAATTAAAAAAATAAATTAATAAGGGCACAAAAGTATTTTTAGGTAAGACGGTGATCAAACACGCAACAAAAATAAACAGTAGGGACCATTTAAGTTAAAAAAAATAAGTTAGCGACCAAAACCACAAATTCCCCAAACCACAGGGACCATTCATGTAATTTAATTTTTACTTTTCGTTTTGTTCATATTTGGGTAACTATTTTTTTTTTGTACACATCTAGGTAACAAACTTGTTGAAAGCGTTCACATCTAGGATTTAACCTGCTATAGCAGGTCATAATGGTCATATGTGAACACTTCCAAAAAGTTTGTTACCTACATATGTACAAAAAAAAGATAGTTACCCAGATGTAAACATACCGAAAAGTTAATTACCTTGATAAGTCATATTCCCCAATATATCAGCAACTTATCAACTCTTTGAAGAGCCAAGTGAGCCTCATTTTTCATGTTTAACATCATTTTTGTGTGGACATTCCAGAAATATCAAAAGTACTCATATTGGATTACCTCATTTAAAATTTATATATTGATTATAACATGTATATCACTAATCACATCATATTGTTAAGAGGTAATAAAGTCATAAAATGAGAAAGTATTATTTTTAATTTTTTTTTCGAAAGAGAAGTATTCTTTTTAAATTATTAAGGGGGTATTTGGTATTGCTTATTTAAAGCTGTTTTTTATATTTTTTTTTAGCTTATATAGTACCAAAAGACAACAAGCAGATAAATTATTTTTTTAGTGTTTTGACTGTTTATATTTATACATGTAGAATGATAAAGGAAGATACTAGTAAAATGGAAAAAATTAGTATACACATATTTGGTCAAGAAAAAACAATAACAAGGCTACAATTCATATAGTTTTTAAAGTTAAAAATTGGTAAAAAAAAAAAAAAAACAAAGGTAAATTGGTTTCCACATATCATAAACACTCTCATTTATCTATTTAAGTCAATAACAATTTTTATTATGTTATTTAAATTGAACATTTAAAAATACTTACTATCAGTACTTAATCATATTCATATTAAACTAACAAACGTCTTAAATAAGCAAATCCTAAACACCTCCTTGAATTTTTATTAGACTACTCCTTGGATCGTCCACAGCACTAAAACTTAAAAGCCAAAAGAATAATTTTAAGAAGTCTCCGTGTTGAGTGTTTGAATCATGATGCACATGTTGACTATATATATATATATATATATATATATATATATATATATATATATATATATATATATAATATATATATATATATATATATATATATATATATATATATATATATATATATATTCTCCAATAAAGGTGAAAATATTAGAGGCTAGTACTTTTTACAATTATAGCACACATGCTAGATGGTTTATTGATGTAACATGTCGTTTTCTAGCATGTGTTTATTATGTACTTTTTATTAAAGTATTAGTGATATGTCACATATTTTTCCCGAAATTACACTATAATTAATAAATATATTGTAAAAAAATACCGATAAATAAATAAGTGTTGAGACCAATATCAAAACAACATGTATATAAATATGATTCGAATTTTTGATAGACAGAAATAACACCGTTGATTGGAATCCAAAAACTATTCAACATATTTTATTGATCTATTTGAAATAACGACGTTAATTCGAATATAAACTCAAAAGCCTTTATCTTGTTCACATATTAAAAGTCTTCCAATCACATTATTGTATAACGAGTCAACTTCACTAATCATGTTTCCATCAGTTTAACATGAACTATATTGAAAATCCGTCCGATTTTTTTTTCGTGAATTAAGTAGACATTTTGTGATAAAAGTTGAAAACATACTCATTAACATGGTTTCCACTTTCGAGCGAATAACTGATTTTAAAAGGTGTTTAGCCCTAGTTTATTTAGTTGAGAATAGTTTAACATTGTTGAGTATCACAAAAATCAACAAAATACATTCTAACATTTAAGTCAATTGCAAAATAGATTAGTCAAAAATCAACAAATTATACTTGCAAATGTGTACGTATGTTTTGTATCTATGTGAATCAAATTTAATCAAGAAAGAAACCGCTTGCTTACTATATAAAACTTGAAACTATCATTTATTAACTATTCATGAAACAAATGATCCACTTTATATCAATCAAATCATGATTCTGAATAGTATGAGATAATCATCGATCAAAGTAACAAAACATGTCACTGTTGCACTACCTGATCAACCAACTTATCCTCCAAACCATGTTGTGCAATCCTGTAATACAGAACACCCATTGTCGCCAAACACGCCCTGCATCAATAATTTTATAATTTTTTCATAACAAAAAAAATGGTAATAACTTGGTACACATGATATAACAGGTTGCTACGCGTCTGACATGCATTGGACTGAGACTGATAGGGTGTTTGGTTTGTCTTTTTGAAAAGCAAAAGTCATTTTTGGAAAAGATAAAGAGCAAAAGATGTTTGGTAAAAACATTTTAAAAAGTGACTTTTGGATTTTAAATAGAAGGAAAAGTGACTTTTTGGAAAAGTTAGAAAAACCTGACTTTTTGTAATTTTTCCAAAAAGGACTTTTGTCTCTCAAAAAGACAAGCCAAACACCCCCTGAGGCTCGGACTGACGTCCGTCGCTATAACAAAAATTGCAACTTTTTGCTCCATCCAAAAATATGGAATAAGACAGGGACTCGCTCTTGATCTCTCTTGTCTGTGCAAAAATACGTGAATAACCTCCACATCCTTATCATAAAAAATAATCATCATAAGGTTTTCCAATCCTGTCTTGTGTAACAAATGCAGCCGTAAGGCTGCGTTTGTTAAATGAAACAGGACAGGACTACACAAGCTTTCAAGGGTTATTTTTTTTTTTATGAAGATGAGGAGGGCATTTACGTCTTTTTACACAGACGAGAGAGATCGAGAGCGGTTCCCTGTCTTGTTCCATGTTTTTGGATGGAGCAAAAAGTTGCAATTTTTGTTACAGTGACGGACGTCAGTCCGAGTCTCAGTCTTAGTCCAATGCATGTCAGACGTAGTATAACCTGTTCTGTGATGGCATGTCTTACATGATTGCTATGACGAGAAGTATTTTTCTTGGATCCATTCTTGATGGTCTATGGTGACGCGATGACGTGTCATCTGCATTTCCCTCTTTTTTAGGAGGTGCGGTTACAGGTAAAGTTGGCAAAGAACTTGACCAAAAAGGTACCAATGATCTCAGAAACTTGTCACAACAACTACCTACATTCATAATTATAGAATTATTACACAATACAATAATAAATCATTATTGAATTTTAATGCTCACCTCTTCTTGTATACTTCTTCTTATTAACGTCTTCATCATCTGCATAATAAGAGAATTCAGATGTTTGCTTTTCACCTTGTGGACTAGTCTTTCTTGTTTTAGCACCAGAATTTGGGCTTTTTGAGAAATTGGGTTCATGTGGAGCATCTTTTTCCGCAACATTAATGCTTGAAGGTTTTGAAGAACCGTTTCCAGAGGGAACTTTTGGTTTTAAAGGATCATAGTCAAAAGCAGGAGGTGGTCCATGAGAATGTTTGGGTGGTGATGAAATTGGATGATTTCCAAACAAGCTCTTCTCATTTCCACTCTGTAAAACAAAAAGTAATGTTTAGTGTGAGAAGGGCATTCACATCTTTTTGTACAGATTAGACAGTAGACAGTAATTCAAAAGTTAGCATATAAGAATTGCAATGAAACAGATACTAATTACCTGCATGATTGCTTCCTTCAACTGTGAATGCAGGCGAGAGCCTGAGTTTTTTACATTTTTAGGAGGCCATATCTGTAACGATGAAGCAACCAAAATGTTGAATTTTTAATAAACTACAAAAGAGAAGCATTTTTTTTAACATTTTACAACCTTTCCAATCAGGATTTATATAAGCAGATAACAAGCTACATAAAAAAGAACCATAGACATGGAGCTTACTGGAGTTGAACATGCTGGACAAGTAAATCCATCTGGAGCAGTATCTTGAGGAAGACTTTTAATATGTGAAACTAAGCAATTTGTATGTATATTATCTGAAAACACATAAAGAAAAGAAGAAGAAGAATAAGTAATGTAGCAATTTATAGTAATCTAGTATTCATAGAAGATGAATATCAATATAAAATTCAAGTGCAATATAACATACGCAAGCAACCCAATCGTGTTGTTTGAGGATCATTGCTCTCTGTGAGCACAGTTTGGCAATGGCAACACTTTGTAGGCCAATCATATTCTCCATCAACTACCCATGCTGAGTATGCTCCAACCTACAAAATCAGCCAAATTGTGTCATTCAAAAGATCAATTTTATGATTATATCATAATGATATACATGTGACTACAACATACCACACAAATTTGATGTTCCTGGAAACATATACATCCACCACAAACAGGAACCTTGTGGACGAAGCAGTACAATTTAGTTGCCTGTGAAGAAATTACCTCTCAATAAAAGCAACAATAAAGGTGTAACATCGTTGAATAAGCTCTCGATTATCAAACTATTATCGAATTGGAATTTGTAATCCAAAATTAATAGCATTTGGAATATGAATTTAGTAGCTCGGTTTGATCTAAAAGCTTCAATTGTTACTGAGAAAACTACATTGCAGTCAGTTTCGCACAATAAAACTAAGGAAATACGTTAAGTTGTGTAAAATTATGACGTGATGTGAAGGAAGGGAGAAAGTGTACCTTTCGGCACTTGCAGACCACCATTGGAATGAGTGTAACTGGTTACACATAGGAAAACCTAATTTCGAAAGCTTCCATTGTACGTTACATGTGAAATCGGATAGAATACAGATCAATTTAATGATGCAAATTGTTTATGTAAATTTATAGGGTTTTAGGACAAAATAATGGAAGATCCGAGCAAGAGATCTTTGAAGAAGATGATTATGTATGATTCTTCGGATATGTGTTGCGAATTCTGAGACAGATTCTTCATTGAAGGAAGATGTGTAGGTTCATATTGCTGGATGTATCATGTATGATATTTCTAAGTTTTGTGATCGTACGTAATTCGGTTTTAATTTTTAGAGTAAATTACACGAAACGTCCCTTGTACATGTGTCAAAAGGCAGGTTTAGTCCCTATTTTCAAAAATTAACTCGGATCATCCCTTGTTTGGTTAAAAAAAACACGTTACATCCCTAACTAATTTAATTTTGCACGCTTCATCCCTTACGCTACCTAAAATGACTATTATGCCCTTTTGGTATTTCTTTTCCAATTAATTTAATGTTGTTGTTATTATTATTATTATTATTATTAATTAATTAATTAATTAATTAATTAATTAAGAAAAAAGAAAAATATTATTACCCTACATCTCTCTATTTCCTTTCTAGTCCATTTAATTCTCTTCAATTTAATGTTCTTCAAGATCCCGATCACCATCCTCGTTCACAAATTCGATGCCGGACACCACCTCCGATCACCATCTCCGTCCACAGAATTAATGTCCGGCAACAGCTCCGGTCACCATCTCCGACCATGGATCCAGTACCACAAAAATCACCCAAACTCAACACAAAGTTACCTAATAAAATACATATAAACCCGAACCTGCAACTCAAATCCAAAACAAAAAGTCCAATCTACAACTCAAACCTAAAACCAAAATCAAACCTGAAATTCAAATGCAAACCCAAAATCAAACCTACAAATTCAAACTCAAATCCCTAATGCAAAAATCGTCACTTGTTGTGTTTTGCTTTTCTGAATCTGATGCAATTTGGAAAACAAAGCACTGGTTTTAGAGATGGACGAAGTTGTGTTAGGTGGTGAAGATAACATGTTTGTTAAATTACCATCATCGATTAGGGAGTGTAAGTGCTAGAATTCCACACATAGTATACGCCAGAGTTCCGCACACAGTGACGCCGTCGATCCGTCATAGCCTCATCATTGACAGGCTCTCTCGTCAGAATCCAATTATAGATCCAGAGATATGATAGATGACGAGGTTATTTTTACATAGTAGCCCGAGTTTCAGGGTTGTCAGATGGTTTTCTCGCCGGAGCAGAGAGAGGTAGAGTAGTCCACCATTTTTGTTTCAAGAGAGTTGGGGGCGAAAGCAAACAATGGAAAAGGGAAACGGGAGGGGTGGGTTAGTGGGGGATTTTTTTTTTCTTTTTTCTGTTTTTAATTTTAAAATGATAAATAAATTAAAGAAAATTAAAAAATAAATTATTAAGGGTAAAATGGTCTTTTTATGTCCGAAGGGATGAAGTTCGCAAGTTTTAAACAAATGAGGGACGGTCCGAGTTAATTTTTGAAAATAGGGACTGAACATACATTTTGACACATGTACGAGGGACGATTCGTGTAATTTACTCTAATTTTTAAATTGCTAAACAAACCAGGTTGTATTGCATGGGCCCGGTCCGGTTCAAAAATCAAATAAAAATCTGATTCGCTCGCTTTTTTTACTATATCCGGTTTTTGCATTTGTAAATGTCATAAATAATAGTAGGTTACATTTTATTTTATTTATTTTAATATTTAAGAGAAATGCGACTAGTATCATGAGTAACAACTTCTAGAAAGCCTATGGATATTCTACAAAAAACAATTTGTAGAAAGCCTCATGCCTACGAAATTCCTAGAAAAACAACCGACTTAAGCCTTTTTAGAGCCCTCCAGAAGGCTCTCGGGAGCTTAGGAAATCACTTAACTTGAAAAATTAATAAAATTTCAGTAGCCTAAATAAGTTGGAAAGTTAAGACATGGATAATTCAATATTGCTTTAGTCAAATTCGACCCCTTATACTAATATGCATTGGAACATATTTTCTACCTCACCTGTAGTATGAACGTATTTTTTATTTACAAGTGGAAGGCTACGAATGTACCATCATGCCCCTTGATCCCATAAAGGGGTGGAATCCTTTGATACTTGTTATGTTTGGGATAAATGACATAAATTATATATTGTATTTGGTTCATTTTTATTTGATCAAGCCCTATATAGGAAAATCAGATAAATATAATTTAGATGAGATTTATTCAAAAAATTTGCTTGAAATTATCGGATTTTGGATAATCCCTTGGATAGGATTCATCCGGATTTTTTTTTTCTAGATTTTGGATGAAAATTATAAGATTTTTAATTGGATCAAAATTCGGTTTCAAATCTTTTGAGGTATCTGAATCGTATCCAATGGATCAGAATGATCTTATCCAGATTTGGATTTCTTTTCGGATATAGTAAATCCAAATCTTGCTTCACACATCCACATCCATATGTTTCCTTCGTTGAACATAAAACCACCAATCAGCTGACGAATATATGAAATGATGTTATAGCGAAAATGATTCTTAATGACTAGTGTTTAGTGATTATCTTTATCAGAAAAATATAAAATAATCAATATGATGGTCATTATTTGTAAACAAAAAAAAGATTTTTAAAATATTAATCCACTTTTTTTTTTTTTTTTCTTCATGAACAGCTCTTGCAATTTCTTTTCTCAAAAAACTTAAACCGGGTAATTAAGCCCAATGGCCCATAAAGAACCCAACATCTCGAATAAAATTACGACAATCGAGTGCCCGACTGAATTCTGGAACTCAAACCGAAAAATATTCCCCAAAATTTGAATTTAAAACCCTCAAGATTCGAATCTAACAAAAAATTTGAAACTTCAGTTTAAAATCCCAATCCCTCCTCTTTCTCAACACATACCAGAGCTCCATCTGAACCCTAGATAATTAACTCCGATCAGCAAATTGAAATGGCAGTGGCGCCACCAGTCACCGGCAAGGAACTAATAAATCCTCCGTCTGACGGTATCTCCAACCTCCGATTCTCTCATCACTCCGATCACCTACTTGTGTCTTCTTGGGACAAAGTACGTATTTACTTCTCTCCATCTCCTTATCTACTTATTTAACTAGAATCGAAGCTAAAGAACTCAATCGCTTCATGTTTTCCTTTCCAAACTCCATCTGCCTAAAGAAATGTTCCTATATACGGTTTTCGTTTACGAAATTCTGAATCATATTTGAAGATTTTAACATAAAACGAAATATGTAAGAAGTACCAGTTTTTTTTCGCTTATGATAAGATAAAAGATACATTTTGTTAATCTGTATTTGATTACAAGTGCAAATTGTAAAACTGTAGTATGTCTTTAGAGTGTGTTAATGTTACTTATTTTTGATTTAGGGAGTACATATCCAAACATTAGAGCTTAACTCATAATTTCTTTCCCCAAAAGAGCCAGATGATCTAGTAGACTAGTACTTTCCAACATTAAAGTTGATACCAAATTTATTGCAGAGTTAAACTTTAATGCCAACATCATTCAATTTTTAGTAGTTAACAGTTGACTTCATGTAGCAAAATTTCTCCCTAAATCTTAACATTTACATCAATTTCAACTTTCAAGCATCAACTGCCATGCTCTTGGCAGCTCGGTTTAGGAATGGTTGAAGTATTATAAACATATACAAGTGTATTTGAATGTATCTAACTTTCTTTCTACACACATACATGCAAAGCTTAATTTATATCAGACCATTGGTGATCAAGAATTCAAGATTGAAAGTTTATTAACCTTTTTAATGACAGACTGTTCGATTATATGATGCAAGTGAGAACGTATTGAGAGGAGAGTTTACACATGGAGGTGCAGTTCTTGATTGCTGCTTTCATGATGATAATTCTGGTTTCAGTGCAAGTGCTGATAATACTGTCAGGAGGTAAGCATGAATGTTATACTGAATTACATATGATATGAACCTTTAGTAAAAAAGAAGCAATTTTTTACTATAATTTCTACTTGAATCTCAGACTTGTTTTCAACAATGAGAGGGAAGATGTTCTTGGACGCCATGATGCCCCTGTTCGATGCATTGAATACTCTTATGCAACAGGTATGCAACCTTCACTAACATAATATGTTGACTTTTCTTTGTTCATATGATCCAAAAAGTTAAAATCTAGTATCTTGTTTTGTGGTTTTAGGGCAAGTGATTACAGGTAGTTGGGATAAAACCCTGAAATGTTGGGATCCAAGAGGTGCAACTAGTGCACAAGAGCGTGCTCTAGTGGGAACATATGCTCAACCTGAACGTGTCTATTCTTTATCTCTTGTTGGAAATCGTGTAGTTGTTGCAACTGCTGGAAGACATGTTAATGTTTATGATTTGAGGAATATGTCTCAACCTGAACAACAAAGGGAATCTTCATTGAAATATCAAACAAGATGCGTCCGATGTTATCCCAATGGAACAGGTATTGTATATTTTACATTTTATATGGTAAGGGTATTTTGGTCTTTTAATAAAAGAAGGGATGATGGAATTGAAAAATATTGAATTTGAATTCCTTCTACCCGTTCTTAAGGATGAAAAAAATTCATTGAACATGGATTCATGGAATTTGAAGGAATCTTACAGAATTGAATTTTGTCAATATACAGATGGAATGGAATCTTGAATTCCAATTCCAAACACCCTTGTATTTCCATTAAACAAAGACGATGATGATTTTTGTAGGTTATGCACTTAGCTCTGTAGAAGGTCGAGTTGCAATGGAGTTTTTTGACCTTTCGCCAGCTGGCCAATCAAAAAAATATGCATTCAAATGTCACAGAAAATCAGAAGCTGGAAGAGACATTGTTTACCCTGTAAATGCCATTGCATTTCACCCCGTGTAAGTTTGACTTCGTTGACTTACCCAATTCACATTGTAACATTATAAGTAGAGTAAATTACAAAAATGGTCCCTGAGTTTAGCTTAGTTTTTCAAAATTGGTCCCAAAAATTCTCTTGCAATTTTGGTCTCAGGAGTTGCAAAGTAATTGAAAGAGAACTTTTTGGGACCAAAATTGAAAAAATCAGCTATGCTCAGGGACCTAAAATGTATATTTCTCATATACATTAATGATTAAACACAAACATGCAGCTATGGGACATTTGCAACAGGAGGTTGTGATGGTTTTGTCAATGTATGGGATGGAAACAACAAAAAGAGACTTTATCAGGTATAT